CAGACACACTAACACACATACTGATGCCAAACTCAAATTATGGGCTTGGCGGCCGTTTCTCTCCTCCTGTTTTTTTGGTAACCCACATGCAGAACTCCAGGGCCAACAGAGTGTGGCAGAGGGTCACTGTTTCCCACAGTCCCACAGATTTCACAGACTTTCTTCTTACCCCCTGATCCTGTGCTGTTGGTCCCCACCATAGAATCCCCATAGAAATTTTCCACTTGCACCAGAAATAGTTGTATGACTACAGGCCACACTACCTTGCAGGCTCAGCACACAGGCCGACAATTTTCATCTATATAGATATGAAAATCATGAATTTTACAAATACTACAGTCTCTAAAATGGTTCTGATCCCCAATTAGCATAACTGTTAACCAACCAACAATTACTATTGAAAGAAAATTCAAGCTCTCTTTCACACATTTAACTTAACAACGCAAAATAACTAGTTGAGTCACCAAAAAGCATGTGTGTGAAAGTAGAATTTGCAACCAGTGTCCCTCAGTGGAGAGCAATAGCTTCTATAAGCAAGGGCATTAACCGCCCAATATTGCCAAGGCAACCTTAACAAATTGACTTTTACAAATGGTGAACAACCTCCAGAGCCATGTGTGATTATTGAGTTGGAGCACCTGTTACCTGTTGCTCAGGTGGCGAGCCTGCTCTCATTCTGTAGACAATGGGTCCACTTTTGGATTTTTACAATAGAACATGCAGCAACCAAATGATGCTGCAAACTCATTTGGATAGCGGAGACTTAAATGCCACTTAAATTGCCTACATGTACATGCAATAATTTTTATTATTTTGACTGTGACAGGGTTGATAGACATTTTTTCACTTTATTGTCTGTGAATGTTGGCTTCACAATTTAATGGAAAAATTGAGAGTGAGATGTTGGGATTGGTTCCTGATAACCAAATGAATGTGCATATGTAGGTTTCAACAAGTTTCTTGTTGCATAGTATGCCTTTGTTTCAAGTATCCTTTTCTGCTTTTAGTTTTTTGCGGGGTTATTTGAACTTTATGGATACTTCTTACCACCGTTACATATGTGTATCTTTCAAAGTCAAACTTGGCTAAGATGACAAAAAGTAGCAAAGTAGAACCGAAGTTAATGCTCAGCATGCATCATGTCCACCTGGGTGTCATGTTTCCATCAACGCTAATCGGACATGATTTTACCACGAAGATGGATAAATATGTTCGCATGTGTTAGTGGGTTAGTTAGTGGGTTTCCGTCCAGAGGGGGAGAGACTTCTTTTTCACTATGCAATCATGCTTGCCTCCATGTACAATGTCTCTGTAAAATGAAGACAGTCGGTCAACAATGCAAAACCAAAGCACTTCTGTTCTCCCACAGGTAGCTGTGGCAATCCACAGTTAATCAAAAAGTACATAAGTAGTAAGATGATTATAAAAAGCCATAAAGAGCCCAAACTAATAAGATTTAGTAAAGAGCCACTTATTTTTATAGCATGCAAGCAATGCATAGCTCAATAAAACACTCCAATACAGCTACATCTAAAAGGAAAAAGCAATTCCAATCACTATCAATAATAATAATTCAAGGCTAGATTTTCATATTAGATAATCAGGAGAAATAATAACCCAGCACTGACGCATCCGCCTTGCTATTGCGTTTTGTGGTTTTAAAGCACAGTGCCGGCAGCAAATGTATTCCCCGTGTGATGACACAAGAGGTCGTCCAAACCCTCAAGCATGTTTGCTTAGCTACCTGGTTTTGGACTGGGGGAGTCAGTAAACAGGTAGAAATGCTACAAATAGGCTGTCACCACTTAAGAATATAGTCTTGAGGGAGGGCAGCCTGTTCCCGGGTCTGCGTCAGCACTGACCTTTCTGATGTTTGCTAAAAGGATTTGAAAGGATTTCAACTCTAACTCTCTAGCTTTCCCTTTTCCTACAACATCTATACTTAGAGAATCTGAGAGGAATAAAATGACAGTTTTGTCCGCAGAGCAGAAGCTGGGGTAGTTCAGTACTGGGCCAAGTGATATCATGCCAATGATAAGCCGATTCCAAATGAATGTTTGGCATTTTCAAGGTGATTGGAGGTTTTAAATCCTCCCAATAACATCTACAAGCATGAAATGCGTGTAAACACGCACGCATGCATGCAGAGGAAGTCAGGGTCAGCACAGAACATTCAATGACTGCTTTCAATGGTGACGACTGTTGTCACAATTCCTCAATCCACTGAAGTATATATATACGCTCATTATGACCGCCTGCTGTGAACCATTGCTAACATTTATCATCAACAACAGTTCTCAGCAAGTGACTCTGCTTCAGTTTGGAGAGGCCTCAAACACCTCACTAACTACAAGCCCAAAAAAATGACCTCCGCCTGGCAGACGAGCTGAATGAGTTCTACTGCAGACTCGAAAGACAATTTGCTGATCCCATCCCCCCCAGCTCCACCAACCTTGGCGCTGACGCTTTTACGCTTTTACAATTTAAACCCATGGCTTTTCTACATATTGCCCCGGGAGCAATTAGGGGTTAGGTGTCTTGCTCAGGGACACTTCGACTTGAGACATGGGGCAGCCGGGACTCGAACCACCAACCTTGCGGTTCCCAGCGCACCCGGTCCCAAAAGCACACAGTGACATGTGGGAATCGATCTCGGGTTCCCCACGTTTAGGGTGGAATGGCTAGGCACTGGAATAACAACACACCATCATCCCTGTTCCCAAGAAACCCAGGATCACAGGACTCAATGACTACAGGCCCGTCGCCCTGACCTCTGTAGTCATGAAGTCTTTTGAACGGCTAGTCCTGACCCACCTGAAGTCCCTCACTGACCCTCTGCCTTCAACACCATCATCCCGTCTCTGCTGGAAGACAAACTCTCCCAGCTGCACGTGCCCGACTCCACCTGCAAGTGGATCACAGACTTCCTGTCTGACAGGAAGCAGCATGTGAAGCTGGGGAAACATGTCTCAGCCTCTCGGACCATCAGCACCGGTTCCCAAAGACCATGATGGTCCACTTCTACACGGCCATCATCGAGTTCATCCTCTGCTCCTCCATCCCCGTCTGATACGCTGCAGCCACAGCCAAGGACAAGGGCAGGCTGCAGCGTGTCATCCGCTCTGCAGAGAGGGTGATCGGCTGCAATCTGCCGTCCCTGCAGGACTTGTTCGCTGCCAGGTCTCTGAAGCGAGCTAAAAAGATGGTAGCCGACCCCTGTCACCCCGGACAAAACCTGTTTGTGCCCCTTCCATTTGGCAGGAGGCTGAGATCCATTAGGACTAAGACCTCCCGCCACACCAACAGTTTCTTCCCGTCGGCAGTCGGGCTCATCAACAGAGCCGGTCCCCCACTGACTGACTATAATATTCCACCGGTCACTCTGCTTCATACTGCACATGCCACTTTAACTGTCATTTCTCACTCGTCACTTTGTCGTCACTCGTCACTTTGTCAGTTGTTCGATAGTGCACTTTATTTTTTTATATTAAAATAGTAACCCACTAACCCATTGCATTAGCATTTCATTTTATTTTATTACTTACTTTTTATTACGTCTTGTTGTCTATTGTCACACTGTCTACTGTCACGCACCAACCGCCAAGACAAATTCCTTATATGTTTGACATATTTGGCAATAAATGTTTCCTGATTCCTGATTCATTCACCAGTTGCTCACAAAGCTAAAAATGTCCTTCCCTCTGAGTTGGACATTGACCGAATATCTCTCTTCACTGTCAACTTAATTGTTAGCCCTGCGTGGATCTACAGCACACTCTGCTGGCATTACAAGGGCAGGCCGTGTCTCTCTCACTACATGCTGTGAAAAGGTGATACGTGAATTTTCTTAAAAAACTGGTTTGAAATAAGAGTTATAAGAACGTCTGTCACTAAGGTGAACGTTAACTACAATGGAGTGATTGCAGACTAATATTTCCTGAAACTCTGCTCTTTGTCACTTAAGGGTGAAGACGGAAAAACAATATGTACACCTTAATCACATATCACTTTTCTTAACCAAGCTGAACAAAGCAGTTTTCTTTTATGTGATATCTGGGGTGGCTTTCGTGTCAGGGAAATCCTCTGGTATCAGGCCAGCAGCAGAAGCGGGTTAAACATGAGCCAAGATTGCTTCCTTTGACTTTTGAAGTTGAGCATCTGGTCAAACAACATAAAAGATTTGCTTGATTCAATTTATCTTGTGGAATTGATCAATACATGGTACCTTTTCTTTCCCAGAGACTAAAGTAAAGTAAACATCATGGACCAAAGAAAACATTATCATTATCACATCAAGTACAGTTAATATGTAGAATCATTCTACTGATGTAGAAATATAGGCGTTAGAGTCCACACTGATATATTGTATGAGTGAGTCCTATAATATGGCGAGTGTGGTTGTAATTTGCTTTAGCAATGTGCTGAAGTCTCCAAACAGACAATGCAAAAGAAAAGTCAAGAGATATGAAGACATGATATAAATACACATTCCCATTGCAGATGTGTATCAAAACAAATGTCCCACCCTTTTGAGAAACCCTGCATCAGACGGCCAATAAAATAAATTCCACTAACTGAAAACAATTCATGTTTATTTATATCCATTGTTGATTCCAAGCTTAGTCCTGTTCCATTCACACTGTCCATTGTCATCTATGCCGGTGGACAGTTAATGTCCAAGGTCCTCAAGGTGTTTCCTTTGTCGGCACAATGTGTGTGCGTGTGTGAGCATGTGGTGACAACACCGCTACCCATAAGGCAGTGTGGGAAAAAAAAGTAACGCCCATTGTGTTTACCTGGAGGAAGCTAGAGACAGAACCTACCAGCCTGTCGAAAGGAAACAAAAAGAACGCTTTGAGAAACGGGGAAAGAAAAGGAACTTCAGCCGGGATTGCCTCTCCTTAAACATGAGCTGTTTTCGGTCAAAGTGGATTGGATAGTCGCTCTGGAAACATTTACAGGTACTTCAGAGTTAGTTTCCCGTCCTCAGGGCCCGACAAAGGTGTGAGTCACAGAAGTGGGATGGTTCAAGCACTGGGAGGAGCTACAGTGGTCTCCATGTATGGTCTACCACTCTGTTCATATGGTAAACAGAAGAAGGTCACATGGGGCAATAGTCTTGGAGCAGTGGGGGTGGAAAAGGAGGGAAAAGAACTAGTAGAGTGAAGAGCCATACTGCCGGAGCACTTCGGCATGCCTCATGCACAGGAGGCAGCGGCCCTTTCACCCTGAGTTTAGAGGACACTGGATCTTATTGCAAAGAGGAAAGGAACCAACGATTTGGAGCAAGTGCCTTGTTGAGGTTAAAACTAAAGCTCTGACTGCCTCACCGGGTCTTTGATTCGACTTACTTTGGATGTTTGTTTCTTTGTCTTCTCCCTGTGGGGCTGAAGGTTGTACAACACACAGCCCACAACTGAAGAGCCAAGATGCCCATCAACTTCACAGTCGTGCCAGTTGAGGATGTGGAGGGCGACGGCGACAGCGAGGCCGTGGCTGGAGGCAGCAGACCCCCTTTGGGAAAAATATTCAGGAAGGAAGACAATGACGAAAACTCACAAGGACCTCACTTGGGTAAGGATACAATCCTACACAAAGGATGCAAGGCATAACCTTACTTTGGTCTGTAGACTTCCTACAGCTGGGCAGGCTTGCTTTTAGGACTTTCTTTCTTCTGGAACCCATCCCAGCATGCGGGGGCACTGCAAGCGCCAGTATGTAATTGAACATGTCCAAACAGAAGCACACTGACACAAGCAGTCGGCCACAAGTAATGCCAGGCACAATGTCCGCACGCACGCACACAAACACACACACACACTTGCAGACAAACAAATGCACACAAAGTGTGACGCTGTTCAAGCTAAAACTTGCATAGTGGGTTAATGAGTGTAGACTGAAGGCAAGGGGCCGGGGTATGTTGTTGCTCCTTAATTCTGGGAAAAGATTGTAGAAGCTATTACTATGAAAAAATGGGTTTTAATATTATATAATAATAATATAGAGGAACATCTTCACCCCTTTTAGGCTGATTATCTCTACAAACTCTACAAACTATCTCTACTTGACATAAAACCTACGCTACGTGATGGCGTCGCAAAAACAGGCAGATACACACACACTGACTTTATATCATCTCCACGGAGTGTTTGGAGGAAATGTAGCATCTTTCTACCAATAAGACTTTTAACTTGTCGGACTAAGAATACTCTTCAAATATACGGGATGCACTGTATTAATATTGCAGCCCCGGCTGCTATCTATGTAAAGGTATAGTTGGATCGATGTCCACCAGAACAAAGAACGAAGCCGTTGGTAATGTCAGCCACCTACAGCTGCGTCCATGTTGAGAGCCGCCGAGAGGCAATCGGCTCGTTCAACGCGAGCCAGTTCTGCGCACAACCAATCAGATATGTTTGACTTGATCCCCACTTACTCTGACGTCATTCACACAAGGTCACCGAAGACTCCACGAGAGGGAGCTGGCTGCTCAATTGTTGGATAAATAATCTTGTGTTGTGCAATGATGATTTAATCTAAAAACCTTGCGGGATTGATAATAAAAACATTACTGATATAACACATTTATAAATATATATGTACAAACATATGAATGATTTTTTGAATTGTGGCTGAAACACGCCCAAACTTAAGGCAACTGAAGGCAGTCTTCTGTCAGTGCCTCGTCTTGCTACTGCCAATTCTCATCTTATTTCAGACTGATAGAGCTGCAAAAAGGACCAAATGTTTGTTTGTATATCTTGGTCATTCTTTATGGTTTTTGGCATCTGTTCTGCACGTATTTTTAGTCAATTCAGAACTATTTTGCCCTCTCTTTGTGGTCTTTGTGGTGATTGTGTGTCTCTTTTTCTCGTTTAAACTTGGCAGCCATGTTATTGTCGTTCTTGTGATGTTTGACAGTTTCTTCATTTGCTTCCTCTTCAACTTCTAATACGATAGTTGTGATGTCACATTGCTCTTTGACAAAGTATAGACTAAAAGACCAAGTTATCCTTATGAAATAAGCACTGAAGGCAAAGCAACAAGCTAAAAATTTCACTACAGATTAGATTAGGTCAGATTTTGTTGTGTTTGCTGTTCCCTGTATCAAGGCTGATCCACACTGTTTTTGAAATACTACTCTGATGGAACATATTCAAGTGTTTTTCAGTTCCCAAGCATCTGCCGCTGGTGAATTCCACACAACGATGATAGCATTCTTTAGCTTGAAGGCTGAGCTTTTTTTCGGCAACACCTACATGCAAAACAATTCCTGTTCAGCAGAAAGCTGCGGCCCGCCCACCCGAGGGTTATCTGGGTATCACTGACATACAGGTTAATGCAAACGTGAGGATTTAGCTGAGCGTGGTAACACCTGGAAATTAAAATTCAAAGCATTAAAAAAATGTTGACAGAAGAGCATACAAAATAATAACAAAGATATTTTATTTTTTGTTAAAGGAAATCATTTTTTGACAGGTATTGTGCAACGTGTATTAATTAATTAATCAATTTTCTGAATCCCTCACAACTACACACACACACACACACACACACACAGGCCCACCAACTGGCGGCGTAGACATGTAGTCACTATGCTAAACTAGGCACATTTTGTCCGTTGGAGCTGTTGACTGATTGTTTGACTGATTGTACATTTTACAGTAGTGTACTATTGTTGCTGTCTAGCTCACTTCTTTTTGACTCCAAAACCGTAGATGATAATAAGTTAACTTTGGTGTGAAAAATATGTGGAATTCTTTTCCTAAGAATGAATCCCATATCTTTAATGGGATGCCTGCACTACAGTGGGTTTTTGTTAGAGCAGTACAGCGTGTTCTTGTACTCGTTGTGTTTTGCCTTTGAGGCAGAAGTCACGGAACGTTAAGCGCTCACTGCTGATAGCACAAGATTTTATCTGTATAAACAATTACATCTCCGTACAATCATTTCCCAAGCCGCTTTCCATGTTTGGTGTTTCTGCTTGAACTATTGTTTCTTTGGCTGCACACATTTGTGCAGACGACATTATGGGTTAAGTTAACTCACAATGTCGTCTATTATGTTATGAGTTAAGTTAACTCACAATGTCGTCTATTATGTTATGAGTTAAGTTAACTCATAATGTCGTCTACTCGTTTGACAGTTCGTGAAAAACTTTTATCTATGTTTTTATAGAAATCAAAGGAGTTTACTTTATTGGACTAGTATTGCTGGTTTCTAAATGTAAAGTTAAACTTCATAACCTGGGGTCTAATATTTAGTCATTCGGATACATAAATTGATATTTGATTACAACTTGTCTTTGAATGGTAGCAAGAAAAGTTCTGATGCCACAAATACTTGAAAGCGATACACTTTTAAAATTTTCTCAAAGTTTACATTTCACGTAACCATGTAACGTGGTAACATGAGCAGAGAACGTTAGCACATCATTAACTAGTGTTAGCAGTTGTATGCTACGCTGGCTACTGAATGCTGGTTTTGCTTTGTAATGATTGAACAGGTGAATAGAGACCTACCCGGTTTTACAGGAACATTGTTGTTCCTCAATTTAATTTTCTTCTGTCTTGATCACAAGGTGATGTCGTGCTTCACTTTTATACAGTCTTCTGTAGCTTTAGCTTCGATCTTTATCTTTTAACCAGTTTGTGCAGCTGATCCGTTTTGCCACCTGGATTTACTCCTCAAACACACATTGCATTTGTTTGCTTCCCTATGAAATAGTTTTTTGGGTTTTTCTAAAAAATTGGTAATATTTACTCAGACAATGTGCCGAGTTTACGTTAGATAGTTTTTAAGGTTAATGTCGACATCAGCGAGTGAATGTTAGACAGGTATATATTTATGTGTTTGTCAAGTTCCAACAGACAGGTCAGCAACACGGTGTGCTCTGCTGACAGAAATACAAGGTAGAGACAAATCTTCCTACAATTAATGTATTTTATGCGTTTGTCAGTAAGCAGAAAAAACATGTTCATATGTGTGTGTGTGTGTCCTTTTTTTTTTTACTGCAGCAGGGTCTTAGTTTGTAACGTCCAGTCCTGGTTTGGGTTTTGATGATGATGCAAAGGAAGGCAGAAAGTTGTGGTACCCTTTCTGTTGTATTGCTGGACCCAGGAGCAGAATTCAGACAGAGCAGAAATGGTTAACAGTGTTTATTGGTCGTAAAGTGGGAGGCTGGAACGTAAGCAGTCAGGCTGGAGGAATGGTCGGCAGACTGGGAGCTTGTTAATTCCTCAAGGCAGGCCGCGAGGGAATACAGAGGCAGGGAACCGAAGCTGAGGCAAACAAAAAATATTTGTTTGTGAAGCAAGCAATTGCTTTTAGCCGTAGCAAAAGTTTCAAGTATTGAGGACTGAGGACTTGGCAAACGCCGGAGTGGAGGGCCGGGAGTAAATGAAGCTTGGTACTTATCATTTATTATTGGAGGTGTTACAGCTGAGCCGGTTAATTGGTAGGAGGGGCACGCCACAGACCATATATAACTCATATATTCCGTTTCATCACGGGTACAAAGTGTCAAAGTGCTTTTAGATTTCCACGGAGACACTGATGGTTTTAAGGGGTTCATGGCTTGGAGCCTTTTCGAGGGACTAGCATTCTAAATGCTACCTGCTAGATGTTACAATCCTCTCCATGACGTGTGTTTTATAAAAAGATAAATGCTCTTCACTCATCTCTGAACCACTGTCAGGTCTTGGGTTCTTCGAGGCAATAAAAGAGGCTGACAACGGTGTGGTCTCGTGTGATAATACGCATGTCTACGAATCCCAAAACACTGGAAAAAACAACATGCGCGTTTTTTCCTGTAATGAATTAATACTAAATAAAATTATTCGTTTGGTAATCGGGAAGGAACTCCCATGAGATCAGTGGATAATTGTAAAAAAAAGGCTTTCTTTGGGGGGGGGGACACTGGATTATTTCACAGCTGAAGACCCGGCCCCAGACAGAATTAGGAAAAGGCTGTGAGCTTGTGCAAATCATTCAGAAACGCCCTGTTGAACCCTAAATTGTGGAACTTGTTCTGAGGCCTCTACTTGTTCAGGATCAGGAATCAGGCAACTTATTATTGCCAAAATATGTCATACATTCAAGGAATTTGACCGCGCGAGAGTAGACGTGGGTCGTCGTGGCGCAGGGGGTAGAGCGGGTGCGCTGGGAACTGCAAGGTTGGTAGTTCGAGTCCCGGCTGCCCCATGTCTCAAGTCGAAGTGTCCCTGAGCAAGACATCTAACATAAAAAAGCCATGGGTTTAAAATGTAATGTAAGTCGCTTTGGATAAAAGCGTCAGCTAAATGACATGTAATGTAACATGTAATGTAGACACTATGACAATAGACGACAAGACAGCAGTGCACGTGTAATAAAATAAAATAAAATGCTAATGCTATGGGTTAGTAGAATAAGGCTATGGGTTAGTTTAAAATAAGAGAATAAAGTTAAAGTAAAAAATATTTAAAAGTTAAAAGTTAAATAAAGTGCACTAGTAAACAAGTGACCGGTGTAGTCAGTCATCGGACTCTGTTCAAAGGCTTTCTCCGTATCTGAAGAGGAAAATACACAAATTCAGCAATATTGACTATAAACATCAATGGAATGTATGATGGAATCATACAACCTTGACGTTTCTATCGCAGATCAGTGGACAAACATTTATCATTTTCAATCATTTGTTCTTTATTTCATGATGGAGGCATGCCAGGCAAGGCTCAGGCCCCGGAGGAGTGTTGATGGTGGAGGGGACAACACCTCGCGTCAAAACAAAAAAAATGAATGTCCCTGACAAAGTATTTCACCAAGGACTGAATGTTTTTTTCATCGTCTGCTCCAACGAGCCTCGCTGTACACACTTTCAGACACGGCCACTAGATAGCAACAGACAGCCACAAGTATCACCGTAATCCACTGGGCCAGAAGCTTTTAATGAAATCTGTTTCATTTATTCACGCTTACGAATGGAGCTCCTTGGTTATAAGCAAATATTGATCGGTATTCATTTTTGAAATTACTATTTCATTGTTTTGGGGCATTTATATTATTAGCAAAATGGCTATATAGAAATAAATATTATTTTAAGTTAAACCCCTATTAAATGAACAACATGTAAACAGTAAACAAGGCCAAAATATGAGGAACTATGAGTAAAGGGTATTATCAACGTCGTATTTGAGTGTGTTTTCATGTTGTTTATAGCAAAAGGTCTGTACCGGCCTGGCATCTGATACTACAATGCTACTACTACTACATCTGATAATACACAGAAACAGTACATGCGACTGCTCCCTTCCTGCTCAGTCGTGTGCATCTCACAGTATATTTGTCCTGTGTGTCCCATTAGAAGACGACAGTCAGAAAGAGTCCAGTCCATTCATCAACACAGACGACGAGGAGGAACATTATTATGAAGGAAAGAACATGGCCTTGTTTGAGGTGAGACAAAAATAATTTTTCACTGAATGTCCACTGTTGTGATTGTTAAACTATTTCATGCATCTGATGTAGAACAAAATCGAAGGTGAGATTTCAAAAAGAAAATTGGTGCTTAAAATATGATGTATGTAGAATCAGACGTTTGTAAATCAAGGTCAGGGCCCCGACTGCAAACTGTCCCCTCCTGTTTTAAGATGGGAGTGGAACAGATAAAAGATATCTAAATGAGTGACTCAAAAATATGTACAAGCTAGTTACAAAGATGTGAGAAATGAAGCAAATAGCAAAGTCACAAATGAGTTGGCTAACAAAAACTAAACACAAATAGTCACAAAGTGTCATAAAACGAATGACTAATATCATGAAATCAATTCTCTTCAAAGTGGGTGCTGAAACAGGAGCGACGTGGGGCCGACTCTCCGTTCTTGTTAAACGCACAAACGCTTATGCTTTGCTTCGTTTGTGCTGTTCTTTCTGCAGGAGGAAATGGACAGTAACCCTATGGTATCATCTCTCCTCAACAAGCTGGCCAACTACACCAACCTGACCCAGGGTGTCCGGGAGCACGAGGAGGCCGAGGACGGGGTCAGGAGGGTTGCTGTCAAGGTGCGCATCGAAGCTTTTTAAGCTGATGTTCAGTAGGAATCGTCACTTCAGATTTATTTTCAGCAGCCAACATTAAACTAATTCATTCTGGAGGCTTTCTTATATTCTACACAGGATTCAGTTTTGGGTCCTTTGAATGCATTCAGTTACTTCAACCAGACTTCCTGCAGCTTATTTCAACTGAACGACTCCCCCTAAAAAACTATACTTTATGTCTTTGAGGGCACAATTAACACAAGCTTTCTGAAATCCATTCAGTGAGTCAGCAAAATGATTGAGTGAAACCACACTGCAAAATAGAGAGCAGTGAGATAAAAAAACGTGATTTCAAACATCAATATGTCCTTTGGATTTTAGATATAGGAAGTAGAATCAGTTTCTGCTAAAATAAATAATCGTTTTGATGTCCTTGGAGCATTAAAGAGAGTTTGGGTACAGTTCACTGTCGGCTTTGATCTTTGGGATGATATCACAGGGAGATAAAGCGGCTTGCAAACATCTCTGAAGAATGAGCTGTATTGTGAGAAGGACACACCACCATCTACAGATGGTCCTATAGCTTTATAAGAACGTTATTTGTGTGTTTTGCATTGCCTTTGGTACAAAAGAGAGTGTGAGCTGAAGGAATCTTTGGGTTTGCGGATTTGGACTTCAGGGACTGTTGCTGTGGCGTTATGGCAAATACTCACTGTACGTTATGATGAGGGTTATTTCAACTACAAGGGAAATCGTAGAAACTATTACTTTTTCTGATTGTTTTTTTTCCATGTATGACGTCAAGATAATATAATGTGTATTTTTGGATAATAACTATAATGACTGGCTTTAATTGTAAAGGGTTTAAGTTTGCTTCAGATGAACAGTGTGACTCTTACTGACAGACTTTTGGGGAGCAGAACATGATTGACCAATTGGATTAGTTCCACATTTGCGTGAGAATTTTTCATCAACAACCTATGAGAAAAGTCAGTAGATGATAAATCCTTGTTTGTTCTTCCTTCGCCATGTGGTGTTAACAGCTTGCTTGGGACAATTAAAAGACAACACCTCAAATCACCAAGACTTCACTAGTGACACAGAAAATGACCCACTATTATTTATTTATTATTAATTATTTGAATTCATTTTTGACCATCTCACTGCTTGTAGACTACATGGAAAAACTGCTCTTTAGTTCGGCCGGTAAACCATTCGACCATCATAGACAAGAGAACCACGTCTGTGGTGTGGGAGGTTCAAGGGGCTCAAGGGTCAGCCGGAGATGCCGTTTAAACTGACAAGCACAAGAATCTTTTTGACCGTTTTCTGGCCATACACCATGTGGTGTGTGGCAATGAATGGGCTGTGGCCACGCATTGTCAGCGGTGAGAGAGCTTTGTAAAAGCAAGTCTCTGAAACGTTGGTTATGAAGGGCGAGAATTAGAGATCGATTCTTCTATCACAACACTTCTCTGATCCTGGTGGGCCCACTGTCTTTGAGTGACACACGGTGGGACTGTAGCTTTTTGTTAGCGGCACTGATGTTGTGTGAAATCCGCCCCCTGAGTGACCTGAAGAGCTGTGCTTTTCCTTTAAGAACGGAGTCTGACACTTAAGAAGAATGAAACAGACATGCAGAGGGAAAGTGAGAGGGAAAGAAGCAGAAAGGACAATTGAGACAAAGTAACACGAGGGACAAGATGTTGGAGATCTGGAGATCAACATCAGGCAGGTCACAGTATTTAGGCAGACAACTCGGTGCCGAGGGGAAAGCGCAGGACAAAGTGTTTATAACTGGGAAAAAGGTACGTACGTTTTGATGAATTAAAAAAAAAATTATGTTTATTTTTTTCCACACACTGCAAGAATAGTATATGACCATACTAAATGTGGGTGTTTGAAGTTTGACCTGCTATAATAACAGCAAATTATCGTTATCAATTCCATTATGGAAAATAATATAAGAAAATCCTGATTGTCCTAACATGACTACATCGGCACTCAGGATTGCAATGCTAATTTCTGAGAAATGGTGAGGAAGGAGACTGCTTGTGTCCTCAGAGAAACCTTTAAAAAAATGTTTTTCATATTTGTAGCACTTTTAAATTATTGTAAAGGGTGATTAACACATAACCGTTTAAAAAAAGCATTAACTTTTTGTAAATATTTTCTAATGGAGGAGACAGAATTCAACAGAATAAGGTCATCATGCAGTTGACTCCTACCCTAAATAAAGCCCGTAAAAGGACATTCTAAATCACATTCTAAATCCCAGCAAAACAAATCAAGTCAACTCAAGAGAAGCACAATATTGGGTATTATTAACCAAATATAAAAAATATGTTAAAATGTTTTTTTCTTTAAATAGCTTATTTTCCTTAGAACCTTACAACAAATGAAAATACCAACAGCCTAATATGAATGTATAAACGGAGCCATTCAAGAGTCCTCACCTCTGTGCACTTGTGCTTGATTATCTGTCCCCAGGTGCCCCAAATGGGGACCTTCATCGGAGTGTACCTGCCGTGCATGCAGAACATCCTGGGTGTGATCCTCTTTCTCCGTCTCACCTGGATTGTCGGCACAGCAGGGATCCTGGGAACCTTCGCCATCGTCTCCATGTGCTGCATCTGCGTGAGTGATTCACAAAGTCAACAGCCCAACGTACTGACTTGCAGAATCAGGAATCAGGAAACATGTATTGCCAAAATATGTCAGACGGGAATTTGACATGGTGATTAGTGCATAACAGCAGAGAGTTAGACTATGGACAACAAGACAGATAAGACGACATAGTGCAAGCGAAATAAAATAACATAATAAAATATAATTCTATGGGTTAGAATATATGGCTATGTGTTAGTTTAAAAATAAAGGAACACATGCTCCGGCCAGGTGGCGCTGTGGATGATCACATCGTCTAAGCTAAGAATGCATATGCATTCTGCAGACGCACCAAACGTAGCACATCATTTAACCTGCAATAGTCCACACAGAATCGTACAGACCACCTCGTAGTCAAAGTCCTCCGCCTGCCGTGTGACCACAGAGGGTTGGCGGAGATTCCTGCTGAGGACGCAAATCGGGCCATTATCCAGTCAAGTGTTTTCCCATGTGGCCAGCCATTGGGTTACGGTGAGCCAGCTACGACCTGTTTTCTCATGTCAGACAGAGACGAGGACAGTCGAGTGCAAAAGGTTTGCATGTTATTTTCACGCAGTGTTGCAGAATGAAGAAGCGTTCACACCAATGTGGGGAGGTTTTGAGACAGAACATCAGAACCAAGGGCAGAGCTTTTGTCTATGGCAACCTTGTGTCAGTGCAGCATTTTGTTAATTTAGTCTTTAGTGGACTACTTTCCTGTTCAGCTTCCACTGGCTGGATGATACGCGTGGTGTGTTTCTAAGTCTATCTGCATGGATGCACTTATTTCAGTGATTGCTTGGTTAACAAAATGAAAGCCATTTTCACTAGAGATTTTTGTTTGAATTATCTCTGTGATAAAGGCCTTCGCAATGTTAGTAGCAGTTTGGACGGAAACATTTCAACCCACTTTGACCACATGTCTACCATCACGAGACAGTGTTTTTTTAACGTTTTTTACATGAGTTTCACAAAATCCATCATATTGTGATCAAAATGTCCAGTTGGTGGTGGATGTTACTGCTACGGGTACGTCTACGTTGTGTGTAGCACAAGTTATGCATGCGTGGCAATATTTCTGTGCATACACAGCAGAACCGTGTTTGATCAAAACAATATAACATCCCCCCTTTTGACACATGGTCTGACTCATGTGTTAATTTAGCATAATGAGCAAAGAAGTGTCTTGGAAGGCAAGGATTTCCATCAGGACCAACCCCAGAGTAATCAGTGAACGTTGACCCTGAGGAAGGCCAGCTTTTCTGCTGCTCTTCTGTGGGCGTGCATGCTCGTGTGTTTGGTTAGTGCCGCGTCATTGTGTCAGATTGAGGGTTTATTTATCAGTCAACAAGGTGCAGCTGAGGCAAATTGAACCTCATTTCCTCACTGACTGTTTCCTGAGCCCCCCCCCCGTGCTCCATCCCGTCTGCAGCCGAGCCAAACCACGCACACCACCACAGGAACAGGCCGACCAGCACACCCTCCTCCGGGTCTGTGATGCCGCTTTATTCCCTGGCTCGGCGGGGCGCCCCCCTAAAACGAGCGGAACACATTTACAACCAGGGCTCATACGTCAGCGGCTCCACGGCCAAACACAGAGCTGACTGTTGGAAAAGTTGGAACTCTAAATGCTCTGCACTCATGTGATGTGAACGCCCTCCCGCAGCTCCCTCAGCAGTGTGGCCGTCTTGTTTATATATATTTTTGGGAGTATTTTTAACTTTTTGCGGAAAAGTGTTTTTTCAATCAGACACCTAATACTGTTAGCGACGTATCACTTTTACATGCACAACAGCTTTATTCTGTGGTAGTATGTGCTATTAAATTAAATACAGGAAAACACATTATACATTGAGTTGAGTTGATTGTTCAACGGTGTGACAGCTGCTACTTGAAGTCAGGGTGGATGTTCTTCGTAAGTTTACAGGTAGGAGCTCTGACTTTGAGTAATTGTTCTTTTTGTACGACGAGGTCAGAGTTTCTTCGAGGTGTTGCAGCATCCAACCACAACACTTGAACGTGTAATGACTTACATTTGTTCAAAAAGTTGGGTATCAAAAACCAAATAAGGCAATTAGAGATTAGAAAAGTCGGTGTGTCTCTCATCTACCCCTCAAACATCTCTTATACATGACTCCAGAGGTCATTCTTGGTTGCAAAATACTTGCAAAACAATTAGTATAATTGTTATACTAAGGATAACACTCTGATAACCTCAGGTAATTCAAGCGATAAGACATATCTTTTTTTTTAAATAACTTAAATAATCTGTTTTGTTAAATAATGAAAAGTTTGTATTATATTGAATCACAGTCGAAGTGACATTAAAAAAAACATTAAAAAAAATCTTTAATTGAAGCAACAACCCGTTATGGTGTAGGGCCGTGCATCAATTTAAATGTTCTCCTGGCATGCAATAAAACTAAAGATTTTTTTTAGTTTGACAGTTTATCCTGTGAAGCCTTTTGACACTAATACAATGAAATGCAGCTTGCAAAATTCTGTCTTTTCTTGCATCCATAACATCTGTCCTTTCTGTTTCACCTCAGACCTTGCTCACAGCCATATCAATGAGCGCCATAGCAACCAACGGAGTTGTCCCAGGTGTGTTTCGAAACATGCGTTGATTTGCATAATACATTTTCCTTTTCTTAAAATGCATTCAAAGCCAACGGTTTTGATACAGTGATAAAGTGTTCTAATTTCCCTCTGGCCGAACCGTATGTGACATTCGGTAGATATTATGGGGATTCGGCATGACACAACAAATACTTGAATACATTTCACCCAGATCAGAACGTTTATGAAATAGTAGAGGCAATCGTTACAGCAGTAAATGCCCCAAAATGCCTCCTAAAATGTTATGTGTTATGCCTAAAATAACCACAAATCTCGTTGACACTTCATAATGAATAATGTTATATCAAGTGTTCAACTAACAATCCAAAAAATACTGTGATGATTTTTACTGCAATAGTGTTTGATTGATGATCAGTGCTATGGTCTTTTTTTGAAAGCTTTTGGGCAACAAACATCCCCAAAAAATAACTTAATCCCCTTTTCACTCTGGCACTGCTTGTGAGCATGAGCTAAAGAAGTACATAGGTTTTTGTTTTATGTTTAAACCCCAAAGAGTACATGTACCGGCAGATATACTAACCGTGATTTCTTTTCCCCAAAGCCGGCGGCTCGTACTACATGATATCCAGATCTCTGGGGCCCGAGTTTGGAGGAGCGGTGGGCCTCTGCTTCTACCTGGGAACCACCTTCGCTGGATCCATGTACATACTGGGCACCATAGAGATTCTGCTGGTATGTTAGAGGTCCGCCCGGTCGGCAGTCACTTCAGCTGCACATTAACGACACGCTCACTGTGTTTCTGATGTCTTCTTCCCACTGCTAGATCTACATCATTCCAAACCCAACGGTCTTTCCAGAAAGCGAAAGCTCAATGTCAAACAATATGCGTGTCTATGGCACATGCTGCCTGCTCCTGATGGCTCTGGTGGTGTTTGTAGGGGTAAAGTAAGTATCCGCCCACACAAACACACACACACACTTACACACACCAGCATGCTTACTCACATCTTTTCTTCTTCCTTCTGCAGGTATGTGAACAAACTGGCTCTGGTGTTTCTGGCCTGTGTGGTCCTCTCCATCATGGCCACTTACGCGGGAGTCATCAAGACGGCCATTGAACCACCAGAGTTTAAGTAAGTTGCTATGAGCTGAATCCAAAAATGTTCATTTAACACTGACGTTCTTTTTCAGGACTGAAATGTTCTTACCATCAAAACACTAAATTGATCTCCTTTAGGGGTCGGACATGAATCCTTTTTTGAAACGTATTGTGTATTTTCTCTCCGTCCTGCACAGCGTCTGTCTGCTGGGGAACCGATCTCTGAACAACAAGATGTTTGAGATCTGCGCCAAGACGGTGTCTGTGAAAAACGTCACAGAGTTCACCAAGCTATGGGGCATCTTCTGTAAACCAAACGCAACGTGTGATGACTACTTTGACCTAAACAACCTGACAGAGATACCGGCCGTGCCTGGGCTCCTGAGCGGGGTTATCAAAGGTGAGAAGAAGCATGGGGGTGGATGCTGAGGTCTTAAGAAAGGCCCGGTCACTGTAAGATTCCACCCACCAGTTGGCAGTGGCAGTCCAGCTCCTAATAGGGAAAGAAAAGTACTAGTGTTAGTCCTGCTGCTTTTTCAAATGAATGAATCTGCGTTGAGGCATGTTGATCTTCACTGTTTTTTACAGTTGTGTTCAGAGATCAGGGATGAAATAGAAAACATTGACTTTTGGCCTTTACCCTTCATGAAGCTAAAGTCCAGTATTGTTTCTCTCTCTTTCCTCCCGGACAAATCAGCATTGTCCACAAGACTGCCTAACCGGAATGAATTCTCAAGTTCATCGGGCTGTTTCTCCCTTTGTGTCTTTCCCTTAGACAACCTGTGGGGTGACTATGGTCCAGCTGGTACGTACTTGGAGAGGAAAAGCCAGCCTTCAGTACAAGTCCAGGAAGCGTCCAGTCACATGGACAAGCCCTACGTCTTCAATGACATTGCCACCTACTTCACTCTGCTGGTGGGAATATACTTCCCCTCTGTGACAGGTAGATCAAATGCCAAACAGTCTTGAGAATCTATCGATTGGAAATGATGATCATGATGATGTCATACTGGAAGAAGCAAGAAGTATCAGATCAGGATCAGAACAAACCTGACCAACCCTTTCATTGTGCCCCTGTTTGGTTTCAGGTATAATGGCTGGTTCCAACAGGTCTGGGGATCTCAGAGATGCTCAGAGGTCCATCCCAATAGGAACCATCATGGCAATTCTCACCACCTCCTTCCTATGTATCCTAGACATTTAGAAAGAAGACTGAACAAACCACCACATGCATGTGACAGAGGCCTTTCACGTGATGACAGAAAGCAACAATTTAGACAGATTTTATTTTAGATTAAGCTTGTTTACCTCAACTTAAGTACGACGTGTGACTCTTTTATATCTTAACTTTGTGCTCAGATATCTCTTGTGTGGTCTTGTTTGGAGCCTGTATTGAAGGAGTGGTGCTGAGAGACAAGTAAGCGTATTTGTGAAGCTCTTGTAGAGAAACAAATTGGGGCAATATTGGTATTTTATAGCGACTAATTAACAGAAAGCTTTTTTCAGTAGTTTACTGGCGTGAAATGGAAATGTGTCTTTGAAGTAGCTTAAGTACAATGCACTTAGTGTGTTGTATCAAAGTGGCTCTATAATGAGGATGATGCACACTCCCTGATGTGGCTTTCATGCTGTGTATGCTTGTTGATCGTTGCAGATTTGGTTACTCGGTGAAGAACAACCCGGTCATTGGCATACTGGCCTGGCCGTCACCCTGGGTGATTGTGATTGGCTCGTTTTTCTCCTGCTGCGGGGCGGGGCTTCAGAGCCTCACCGGCGCCCCTCGCCTCTTGCAGGCCATTGCTCGGGATGGGATCATTCCGTTCTTGCAGGTCAGTGTTAGAAATGCATGTGTTCTTTAAACGTTTTATGTTACAGTCCTTTCTGCTTGTACAGCCAGCCTTAACCAACCGCACTGTTGGTTTGTGGAGCTCTTGCTCTGGAATGGTTCTTTTCAGCTTCATCTCATGACCCCATGACACCACCGTCAGCGCTACTTTGCTCATCTTTATTTTGTGCCTGGATGGCTGATATAGCTCTCTTCTGTTACAGTAAAGCAGTTTGCAACTCACCTATTTAGACCTGTTTCTAACTATGTCCTTGATGGATGACAACTTGGGACAATGAGCCTCATTCACCAATATCTTCCTGTATTTCTTCATTCTCTGGGGATCAGGTTGATTGGGGACTCTAAATTGTCTGTAGGCTGTGTGGATGTGAGTGTGAATGGTTGTGTGTCTCTGTGTAGCCATGCGATTGGCTGTCGACCAATCCAGGATGTACCCAGTCTATCGCCCAAAGCCTGCTGGGATGGACTCCAGCCCCCCCGCGACCCTGTGTGCAGGATAAGTGGTTTGCAGATGGATGGATGGATGCTGCATATTAATAGTATATTTAGTATTTTAAAAGTTCTAGTGGTTTTGGCAACCGATCATTATTCTTCACGAAAAACAGTTGTGTCACTTGAAATCCGTAGAATGGAAATTGAATGAGTTTGGAGTCATAATATGACGCCTAAATGTACTAAAAAATGTTGAGAAAATGAAAATACTGTATCATTCACCAGATTGTCATCGTCATCATTTGTATTCATTTAGTAAAGATCTCACCCCAAAAGCTGCCACAGTGTCCTTTTACTACAAATGGCAGTAAAACCAAGAAAAGCAGCATGTTTCTTATATGAAATGGAGAAGCATTCTACAATAACAAGCTGTATTTGTGTCCGTCTCTCAGGTGTTTGGTCATGGGAAGGCTAACGGTGAGCCCACCTGGGCTCTGTTGCTGACAGTGGGGATCTGTGAGATAGGAATCCTCATCGCCTCTCTCGATGCTGTGGCACCCATCCTCTCCATGTACGTGCTTTAACCCTGAAGAAATCAGCCGTGTTACTTTCTCTCTTTAAAGAATTTTTTTTTTTATTCCAGGTTTTTCCTCATGTGCTATCTGTTTGTTAACTTGGCCTGTGCTGTTCAGACTTTGCTCCGCACCCCTAACTGGAGACCTCGCTTCAAGTTCTATCACTGGTAAGAACATCTTCCAAATAAACTCAAGAAAAGCTTTAGTTTACCCAACAGATTATGGTCCTTACACCTGTATTAATATGTGGTGTGTGTGTGTGTGTGTTCGGTAGGACCCTATCCTTCTTAGGGATGAGCCTGTGTCTTTCTCTTATGTTCGTCTGCTCCTGGTACTACGCCCTCGTCGCCATGGTGATAGCTGGTTGTCTCTACAAGTACATTGAGTACCGAGGGTGAGTCTATTGGTTTCAGGTCAGGACGTCACAGTAGAGGAAGCTTTGCATTTTTCACGCCACTGGGACACAATGAAAACAGTTAAGTATTTAGAATCGAGATGAAACGCTTCCTGTTTGGACTTTTCGGTTGTAGGGCAGTGAAGGAATGGGGAGATGGGATCCGAGGTCTGTCCCTCAACGCAGCACGCTACGCTCTCATCCGGCTGGAGGAAGTGCCGCTACACACCAAAAACTGGAGGTGAGGATGTGCGTTGTGAAGCCATGAGCGGGGATGCACAATACATTGTTTCACACCACGACTTTGTCTGACTCTCAATGGGCATTTGGAAAGAAATGGATCCAAAATGTATTCCATGTATTCTTCTCCTCCAAACATGGTGCCTGCATTATCAGTAGTGACTCGAGCCACTAGCTTCCAGCTTATTAACGCACTTAATTATTCCCCGCCCCTCACACACACACAGCTTTTTGTTACATTTTCACGCTTGTAGCCTTCAGTCCCAACCAAAGCCAACAAAAATAACATAATCTTGAGGTACTTAAAGCAAACCTCCCACATCCCAGGAGCACACGAGTAAAACTGCCACACTTTTCCTTTAGTATAACAACAATCATTTTGCCCCCCTCCTATGCTACATTGTCTCTCTCTCTCTCTCCCTCTACCTCCCTCTTCAGGCCTCAGCTGTTGGTGTTATGTAAATTGGACTCGGAGCTGGGTGTGAAACACCCTCGCCTCCTGACATTCACTTCACAGCTCAAAGCAGGAAAGGGACTGACCATCGTCAGCTCTGTCCTGGAGGGCACCTACATGACCCGGGGGAACGAGGCCAAGGCGGGAGAGAAGGTTTGTCTGTCCGTACGTTCAGCTTGCACTAACATTTCGACACCGTGAACCACTATAATGTCCTTTCCTTTCTCCTTTTCTTCAGAACTTGAAAGCGGCCATGGCCGCAGAGAAGATGAAGGGCTTCTCCCACGTGGTGGTTTCTTCCAACCTGCGAGACGGCTTCTCCCTGCTCATCCAGTCAGCGGGCCTGGGAGGAATGAAGCACAACGCCGTCCTGATGGCCTGGCCGGCAGGCGGAGGGCTGGTCCACGACTCCTTGGCCAGGAGGAACTTCATCGGTAAAATATACCAGACGAGACAAGACGGCCTTGAATTAAATCAAACGGCGTAAAGACTGGAGGGGAAACACAGGAGGACAGTAGAGGGCGACAGAACCTTAACATTCAAATCTCTCTCTCTGTGCAGAAACAGTGCGAGAGACTACAGCGGCCCAACAGGCTCTGCTGGTTGCCAAGAACATCGACCATTTCCCCAGCAACCAGGACCGTCTGACGGAAGGAACCATCGATGTGTGGTGGATCGTACATGACGGCGGAATGCTTATGCTGCTGCCATTTTTACTCAGTCAACACAAGGTGTGTTTGTGTGTCATGTCCAAAATCTATTTTTATATTTTTAATGTGTGTGTAAAAGAAAGTCCTCCTCAGTCTTCCTCCAGTTTGATCCAGCACCTTTTTACAGTACAGAGGATTTAACATTTCAGTAGTGATTCCTTTCATAAGCTTTTCATTTTCACACCAAAACTTCAACGTCCTTTGCGCTTGAAGTCTTGCACCCGTAAACCTGACCTGCAAACCTGAGAGTTTTGTGCTCGTGTGTTACTCCTAAACAAAGGTCACAGCCAGGGTTTAACTGTGAGTGTAACCATCTGATGATTCATCTCTAATCTTTGCAGGTGTGGAGGAAGTGTAAAATGCGAATCTTCACGGTGGCCCATATGGAGGATAACTCCATCCAGATGAAGAAAGACCTGCAGATGTTTCTCTACCAACTACGTCTGGATGCTGTGGTGGAGGTGGTGGAAATGGTGGGGACGATTTGATGTTTACTCAATTCCTTTTGGTGTCGGATGGTGGTGGATCCAGGTGGTTTCATCACCTATTTCTGCCCCTTATGAGAACATTCTTTACACTAAAGTGACACCAAACTGTTCTGTTTCCCTCCAGCATGAAAGCGACATCTCAGCCTTCACCTATGAGAAGACGCTGGTGATGGAGCAGAGGTCTCAATTGCTGAAACAGATGCAGTTGTCCCGTACTGAGAGGGAGAGAGAGGTACGTGACACTCTCATTTAACAACGTGTCGGGTAAAACGTCAGCTTTTAATTATGAACATTATAAGGATGTGTTCGAAATAACAGCATTAAGATGCACGAGTTACAAATATGCATTGCTGATATAAGTGTAATAGTAGGTAAGATAAATTCAACTAAGCCTTCGCTAATGTCGGCTGGCTCTCCATAGCGAGTATCTGCATTACAAATCGCAACACCGACAAGTTGTAGCCATTCTGTTGTTGCAAATCTACAAAGCCACCTTGAAGATGAAGACAATGTCAAAATATATGGGGCAGAGAAGCATATTTGTTGGACTGGTCGAATAACCGATGCAATTCTATGATTGGCCAGTCCGCTTTTGAGGCATTGGATTGAAAAGTGTCAATTGAAAATGTCACCAGGATAAAAATAAGCGCTATCCGTAATACTGAAAACCACACTTAGAACATTATAAACTCCACCCTAGCTAATACACGCTCAAACTTATATATTCCATTTTTTAAATATTCAATTTTGTGCTTACACTTTTAAACACAATCTATAAATACTTTAAACTAACATGCTAAACCGAGCTCTGTTTTATATACTGCAGCTATTCTCAACCCAAATACAAATCTGAAGCATAACTTCCATGTTCTGATGTTGTTGCCCTTTGAACCCTCCCCTAAACCCGGCTTCGCGATTGGACCGGCTCAGATTCAGAGCATCACAGATGTATCGCGCGGCTCCGTAAAGAGGAAGAAGCCGTCGGGTTCCCCTTCCCTCAACAACCTGTGCTTACCGGAGGATGAGGTAGCCACGGCGACCGAACGGGCCGTAGTAGCCAACCACGTTGCCACTGGTCCAACCATTCATCATCCTATCCTTTCCTCACATCACAAGCAGTCCATTACACCTGTAATGTTTAAATCAACCTTTGGAGCCCTTTATGCCTCTGCTCTGAAAATTGCACGCGCATACTAACAAAGCTCTCTGCAACTATAGGCTCTGTTTGAATCATTTTTTAGTGTCCATTATAAAATGTGTTTGCATGTGCTTATGATGTGTAAATATCAGTTTATATACTGGTGAACTCTAAATGTAGATGACACACAAAAAATGAAGACATTTCAGATTTGCCTGAAAACTAAATACTTATACAGTGTCTTTGTCCTTAAAACCTGAATGAATAATCCTGAAACTCTTATATTTCATAGTACAGTGGACGGTCTTACCTTCATAAAGTGAAGCAGAACAATGTTTGGGAGGTTTTGGTACAGGCTTCACGGGAGAAATACGGGAGAGGTTGCGATTATATCTCAACCAATCCTTGGCCAGTTTTCAAGACGAGAGCCTATGGGATTCAAGTAGCCCCACGTGGAGAAGAGCATCAGCTCCCTTAGCCACTCAAGATTCAAAAACGTGTAGCGCGGGAAAGATGCTCCACTCTGACGCTGAAGAGGAAAAGTTCCTCCTCAGACCCCGAAAACCGATCCGAAAATGGAGAGGAATGATTTATGAGACGCACAACATGTCCACTGAGCATTTATCACTCAAACAATCCCGCAGATAATGCATTTTTCCGTTGAAAACGTCAACGGTTAAGAGCTTTTATGATTGGAAATAATGTAATTTGTGTGCCTGATGTTGGTTTTACCATAACTTGGGAAAGGTTTGAGAAATGTTAAAGATATGGTTGGAATCGGGGTGGAATCGGCTTGCTGATTGCCATTTTGGCTTCTTTGTTAGTTTCTAGCTTTTGATTGACGGGTCCACAAATGCGTGTGAGTGTGCTTACTTTAGGTCAAATTTGCTTATAACATGTTAGTAATTCTCATAACCTTTGTTGAAGTTGTGTTTTGAGGATTTTCAAACAGACTAGTTGGCTTTGTAGCCCAGGATCAGATGTTTCTCGTGTTGTGCAGCATTATTAAATTAGTTTTTTTATTCAACGTTATGTAATAGAATCTCAGAAGGCGGGTCTAGAGGTTAAATCAGTGAAGTCACTAGACACTTCAGTGGTAGAACCAGAAGCTGCCACTGGAAGGAGACAAACTCCTCACTGAGTAGCATTACTTTCCTTAGTTTCTAACACAGAAAAATGGCAAATTCTTACGGATTATCTATAGATTTTAGCGAGAGAGTTGTGGGTACATCTGCATCCCAATCCTTACAATATATTACTCATTTAGTTGACATTTTTTCTTGGCTAAGGCAAAGGGTATCACATGTAAAGAACCGCTAAAAGGGATGTTATATGACGCCTCGCAAGTATTTTATACCTTTGACGGGAATAGAAAGTGAAGGGATTTGGATATGAAATTTGGTTTTGGATTTAATAAGATATCACAATGGTCTCATATGGGCAGAATTAGTACTTTCAAAATTGATTGATTTTTATTTCACGTTCTATGAATGAGATCACATTGATCGACTAGCTTAACTGTGTCCACTGTAAAAGAGAGTGTGTTGTTCTGTGTTCTTTTCCTGCATGTGCTGTTGTCACCATAAACCTGTTCGGCCTAAAAAATAACTACATCTACATCTAAATAATATGTCCTCATATATGCTGGTCATATTTTCACATGAATGACATATTTGCATTTTGCTGTGTTTGAAATGCGACAAGACGCTACCGATCGTAAACGTCAAACCAGTTGGATCTTTCTGAGTTAAGCCCTTCCTCACTTTAATTGTTCTTACTATGTCATTTAATTATCTCTTTAGGCCCAGTTGATCCATGACCGGAACACAGCATCTCATTCTACAACAAACGAGAGAGATGCGAAGGCGACAACGGATCGCGTCCACATGACCTGGACCAAGGATAAACTTGTCAACGAGAGGAACAGACACCGGGAGGGTCTGGGAGTTAAAGACATATTCAACATGAGACCGTAAGTAGATAAAGCTGCCCTGAAATAAACCCCTAAAAACTAACTACAGAGATTTTTGCTACCGGGCCCTCAAACATTATGTTTACATGCAACTACACTAAACAATCTGATTAATTCCTTGGGTAAAATATTTGTATTATTATCCAAATATATTATATATTTATAATTATTTTATTATATTTTATATTATTTAATTATTGTTTTTATATTTAAATACTATATTTATACTTCAGGCGGCACGGTGGCGTGGTGGTTAGCACTGTTGCCTCACAGCAAGAAGGTCCTGGGTTCGATTCCGCCCAGTGGCCTTTCTGTGTGGAGTCTGCATGTTCTCCCCGTGTCTGCGTGGGTTTTCTCCGGCTTCCTCCCACAGTCCAAAGACGTGCTCTGGGGATCAGGTTAATTGGGGACTTTAAATTGCCCGTAGATGTGTGAATGGTTGTATGTCTCTGTGTGGCCCTGCGATTGGCTGGCGACCAATCCAGGGTGTACCCTGTCTATCGCCCGAAGTTGGCTGGGATGGACTCCAGCCCCCCCGCGACCCTGTGTGCAGGATAAGCGGTTTGACAATGGATGGATGGATGGATGGATGGATTTATACTTCAAGCTTCTTGTCATCTTACAAATTTTCGCACCTAATTGACCCGTTTTGGAGTCCCGCCCTTTGAATGTAGACTTGCTTGACAAACGAGCAGAGGGGAGAATGTATTATTCAATGGTTGTTTTTATGTGCGTTCAATGCTTTTGCTATTCACCTGCAGTTTGTCCAATCATTTTAATCTTTTTTGAATGTTTTTCTTTTTTTGCTCCATTCCTCCAGTGAGTGGGAGAATCTGTAAGTCACTTCATCGTTATCTTCTTGTTTGCATGCTCAATGTGTTGAATTAAAGTCTGTGCTGTCATGTTTTTGTGAAAGTAGATCTCACTGCGTGTTGCTGCATGATGACAAATATGAAACTTTGCTTATGGCAGAATGATCATATGATTTTCTTACCCAAACAGCCCAATGACCCCGCCACGAACAACAGATAACCGATGCTCTCTTTAATGTTTGTGGTCCGACGTAGCAACCAGACCAACGTGCGCAGGATGCACACGGCTGTAAAGCTGAACGAGGTCGTGCTCAAGAAGTCCCGCAAATCGCAGCTGGTCTTGCTCAACATGCCGGGCCCGCCGAAGAACAAGAAAGGAGACGACAACTGTATCCATTTTCTGCTAATTTGTTCAGTTATCAAGCCCTTCAGTCAGGAACAGGGCAATGTAATAAAGTAATAGTTTAAAGATTTTAGGAAATAAGAAACCACTTTCTAACCAAGAAACAGAAGATATCAAGCTAACTCAGCACAAAGATTGCAAATAGGGAGAAACAGCTATCTGGTGTTGTGTTGAAAATGAACACTTACCAACACCATGAGAAGTCACTGACGATATTTCTGTATTTATTGAACAGGATTCCCATTAGCGGATGCCAATGGCACCACCGCGAAATTCTCACATAGTGTACAAGCAGCCCAAATCTGTTCATGAATATGGCTCTTAAGTAAATTCCATCAATGACATGAGCAAAATTTGGTGTTTGATGATTGAATAAACCAGACAATGGCAGCGTGCGTTGCTGTGACATGTAATATGTCCTTAACCAGAATGCGTCTCACAGATATGGAGTTCCTGGAGGTCCTCATGGACGGCCTGGACCGAGTCCTGTTGGTTCGGGGAGGTGGTCGGGAGGTCATCACCATCTACTCGTAGCACGATGCAAGATGTTTCCACATTGGATCCAAAAACTGTTGAGCAGTGGGACCCCAGAGGGCAGGTGGTTGTTGAAGGGGAAAGGGAAGACTTTGAGATGCATCACGGGAAAAGATGTCGGGCAGAAGTACAGCGCACTGCTTCAGGAGGAACGTAAGGGAGAACCATGGCGCTGTGGAGGACAGAGGAGGCTCCTGCAGCACAGCTTGATCTCAATGCATCGTTTGAGGACACAGAGCAATGTCTGCAACTCCGACACAACAGCACACTGTGAAAGGGCCGCTGTGTGGCTGCACTGTGGGGAGGTTCTATGCTCAGCTGAACTGTAAAGTATGACGTCCCTTTTTAGCTTTCCACTGATTGTTGTAGATGGTTGTTCTCCAGGATCATCAGTCCAATCAAAGGTAGCCAACGTAGTGTCTTTCATTTTATCTCAGAGATGTTTAGGAATCCTTTCCTTGATAAAGCGAGAGATGAACCTGTTTTGAGCCTTTATATTTGACATGTTTTCCCATGTCAATGCATGAGAAGCCAAAGTGCCATTGATCAAATAAGCACAGTTTAAGATTGTAATCTCTAGTTAGTGATTTTACCAGTTTCGTTGAACTGAATTAACATACAAGCTATGTTTGAAATGGTGCAAATATTTTAAAGCGTGTTTGTGATCATGTGACAAGCTTGCGTATGCTGAGAAAAATGGAACCTATATGGTATTATTTCATCTACTATTAGTATTGTTTTTAATATAATAGGAAATATGCAACAGGTGGGTTTAACAAGAAAAGACACAAACAAACCCCAAAAATCTAGAACTCTGACCAGCAAACTTTCAAAGAAAGGATTGTGTGGTAGTTGCCCCTTTCTTTGCATCTGTTTGTGAGGCTTAACTGTATTCTAGGTGATCTAACCAGGCAGATTCTGTACTCAGTTGTCAGTAACGGCACCAACAATCAATCGCGATAGAAGATTATACACAGATATCTGTGCTTAAAGGGACCATTTGTGCCTATAAATAATTAACCAGTACAAGTATTTTAGTTAAACAAATTCCCACAACATTACATTCAACATACGCAGACACGCAGCGAAGGGGCAGGAAAAGGACAAAGCGGGAAGTTAGGAGACAAAGGAAATGTAGCATGTGATTTCTCTGATTGCCATCATGTTTTGAACATTCATCCTAAGGTAGGTTCAGTGACGTAATATAATGTAAGTTAGTCAATTTTGTTGTTATCAGACTTTGTAAAAAAAAAAATTAAAAAAAATCTGTGGGTAAAAATGAAATCAATGATTCCCTATTGTGACAAATACAATACCGAAAGGTGAATTGTTTTTTTGTCCAAGTGAATATGTTCACCTGTGAGCAAGCTGGATAGTTGTTGCCTCTCACGTAACTGGACCAGATCTCAGTCTCCAAAAATCAATCTCATCCTAAAACCATCGCTGACTGTCGGCAGACCAAAGAACAAAAGGAACTTGGCCTTGGATAAATAGCTTCCTGTTTGAGCAGTTAGCCGGGTCAGCACGCACAACAACAAAAACAACAACAACAAGCCAGGCCTGAAGCTTCGATCACTCACTGAGTTACAGCCCTGCTACATTCTCTGCTGTTTGTACTTCCCAATCTCTGCAAGAATGCACATAAAAGAGTGGAACTGTAAAAAAAAAACTTCCTAGAGCTTATGAGAAAAAAGGGCGAGGGGTCGATAACGGGTTCTATGTGCAAATTTGGCCTAACATTCAAATATTTGCATAATCTTGCTTCTGTCACTTGCTTGATGTGTAGCATGCATATATATATATATATATATATATATATATATACACACATATATATAACAAGCGACACCAATTTAAAAAAAACTGAAATTGTTGTTTCAATAAGAAAATAAAAGTTTCATCAGAACAGATGTGGTGGACTGCCAACACAGTTGAACAAGCTGTGCGTAAGATATTTGACATGTTATTGTTTTTCTGATGTGTCATTGTCACAAATAACATCCCAGCGTTCTATGATACATTAAGGCAGGGGTCTCAAACTCATTTCAGGTTCAGGCCAGATGCAGCCCACTTTGACCGGACGCGGGCCAGACCATTACGGTCGACGGGGAGAGAGAGGGAGGGGTGGCAGCGCTGATGGTCCGACCGGCGAATGGTACGGCCGACGAGGGGGTGCCGCTGAGTATCAGTCAGACCCCTGCATTAAGGCCTCAACCAACAGCAGCTATTTGTACATGAGAAAGAATTATTTGGTTTCTAGATGGGTTGCACTTATACCACGTTATAGTCGGCCCACTGAGGACCGGACCAACAGTTGTGTGGATCGCCATGAATTTTAGTCCAAACCTTCATGGTCCCCAGATGATGAATCCTACTGAGCTCTCAGCTGCTCGTTTGTGGCTTTGATTGATTGACACGACATTTGGCTCACACAATAATGGCTCATAGTCTTTGAGTGTTCTGTGTCAATGTAATAATCAAGAAGGCTTTCCCACCTAACCCACAACCAGTACTGTGTCCGGCTGGAGCTTCTGCCACTGTGTGCTCGATTGGGGAACAGTTTGTTTTCTGATCAAACACTTGCAAAACGATTCCATTCCCATCAGCCTCAGCTAAACTTACTCAGCGTGGTTACATGGATTCGAATAACTGGCTTAGTCGGACTGAAATCGAATTATCCGTTTCATGTAAACACCTTTGTCCGACTATGTGCGGTCCGACTAACACCCCTGTATAACTCGATCCGATCCAGTTGATAGTTCGACTATTGCGGCATGTAACGGTGAATCGGATGAGGAACTGGACTTTGCGTCTTTGCGCATGCTTGAGATCCCGACGGCGTCTTCTCTCCGTTATCAAATCAGACAATAGCGCCATTCGCATTCACTGTGCTCCTATTAACATTATGCACAAATAGTAGAGGGATGTAGCTTCACTTTGCTCTCCGTTCGCCATCTTTCTCGTAGTGTTGATGTTGTTGTTGTTGGTAGTTGTTGGTAGTGGTGAAGCGGTCAAGCGGTAATGGCTGTATCACAACTAGTTGTGATGAAAACAGCGCCACTCTATCGTATCGGATATGACATGCTTTCGGCCAATGATTCGATTTATTCACTGCCATGTATATTGGGATAATAGCACCTCCCCCCGAAAGATAGCGTAGTCCGACTAAGCAAAGATTCGAATTATACCATCATGTAAACACACTCACTGTTTAGTTCCACGTGGTCCATGTTTGCGAGCTAACATATTAAACTGAGATGACACACAATTGATTCTTTTTCCTTTTGAATGTTGATAAAATAATCACTCTCTTTGGTTTTGTGTACAAGATCATTTTCAACATATTCACATCGTGTAAACCTTAAAGTAACTCAGCTCCTCTTCTTCCCACAGCTTACGTTGACCTTCTAGTAAAAACATCGTACTGGCTAAGAAGTTTTTTCTTTTCTTCCACTTATATCTGAGAGCTTAATCTGGACTAAGAGCTAAAAAGGGAAAACACAGGGAATGTAGTCCGGAGGGACAGATGATGGAGGGGAGGGCGGAGAGGGCGGGGGAGGCGCGGGGGGACCCCCTTTTCTTGCTATTATCATCCCAGCTTGTGCAAATAGTGGATTTCATCACAACATAGATTATTTCCCTCTGTATTATTGCATGTTGAACTAAAAAAGATTTTTATTTTTATCTTTTGAATATATTTCTGAACAGAGGGTTTTAAATCAATTGTAAAGCCTCTTCTAGTTTTCATACTGGGAATAGAATTAAAATTGAAAAGTTAGGATTGCTCAAATTGAAACTTTTGAAGTGACAGTACCTTGAATCGGATACTTTTATTCCATCACAGCAGTGGGCCTACTGGCTGTTTTCTGGTTCTCAGGGCAAATAATAAGGCTGCTATGTGTAGTTTCCTGTTTGCACCCTATGAGCTATACATAGGTTACATACATAGAGGGCGGGACGTGGGTTTTCAATTGCCTGAATATTTTTTTTATTCTTCACCGCATCTCTATTAAACAGATTAAATCGGACATGCTATTTGTTATATACATATTTATTAATTAACTACTTATTAACATAACTTTATTTTGGAAAATGTATTCTCTGACTAAAACCTGCAGTTATGAATAAAATTGCTGTATTTCGCGTGGGATTGGAACGGAGATCACAGCTAAAATGAATACAAAAGAGGAGAGATTAAACATGCATGTCAACCATTTAAAAGGGAACTTGAGTAAAGCGAGAGGTCAGGAGAGACGGTCCACTCAGAGTGTAAGGGGGATGTTTTTTTCTTTTTCTTCAAGAGAGTCAGATTTCCCAACTTAGTGGGTCTGCGAGTCGCTCTGCTCAGAACTGAGAGCCTTTGTGCTGCGAGAGAGAGAGAGAGAGAGAGAGAGAGAGAGAGAGAGAGAGAGAGAGAGAGAGAGAGAGAGAGAGAGAGAGAGAGAGAGCAGCAGTGTGACTTCAGGTCTGCACTGAAGCACAGGGACCACGCAGTCTGACGGAATATCATCACACACACACACACACACTTGGAGTTCACTTCCAAACCTGGATTTGTATTCCTTTGCTTGCTAAAATGTTTCAAAGGTGAGGTTTGAATTTTACTTTCAGAAAGCAGAGTGGACTTTCCTCGACTCTTGCATCCACTTACCGCCTTCACCTCAGCTACTCCTCAGAGTGGACCAACGCTGTAGCATCTTTTATTCAGCTTACTTTTTTTTACTTAAAACATTTTTACACCAGTTTTAATACATTGTATGTCTGCGTACTTTGCAACTTATGTGATCGATGTGTGTCCACAGGTGGTCTCTCGCCCTCCATCCGGTCCTGCTGTGTTGGCTGGCCGCTGCTCTGCAGGTCACAGAAGGTGAGGTTTATGTTGCTGCAGCTCTTTCCGGACACTCAGAAGCATAATGCGGCTGAGTCAGATCCACAGCAGAGGAATATGAGGGCTAATACAGCACCTGATTCAGCATTAGAGGAGATCTTTCTCATATTGGTACAGCTACAACTAATATTCAAATCCCGTTAGCACCACGATGCACTGATTTCCTTTCTTTGATGCTTCAGATGTGACTGACCAATGAGTTATATTAGGGCCAGTACATTTGTCATTTTAACCAAGAAAAAGAAAGAATATTCCCCATCTCGTGGCAGTAAAAACCTGTTTCAAATTCAAGGCAAAGAATTCTTTCTAAGCCCGATAGAATGATGTTGGTTAATAATAAGTAGGTGTAAGTAGGTGCTACCTTTCAAAGCGCAGACTCAATTTATCTAGTGTGTAAGGTGAAAAAGTTAGATTTTTGGCAGGGTAGATGGTGGTTTCTTTTTAAGTTCTTTCTAAAACCAAACCGAGTAAAAGTACAAAGAATGGATCCATCAGTGCTGATGAAATATGGATGAAATTGTATAAAATTTGGGAGGAGTAGTGGGCATTTCAGCGGCCACCACACATTTGAATTCAAGTTTTTCAAATTTGAAAAAGAGTTAACTTGGTTATTATAGTAATGTGCATATTTGCGAGAAAACCTCAAATGCTACACGACTTTGATGACTCCTTAAGTAATCTCGTCCAAACATTATTTCACTATCGAATCATGATTGATTGATCGGGATTGAGGCTGAGCACACCTCCAGTGTTTGAAGGTGAGAGCTGCTCAGCGTTGGCCGCGATACCCGGCTGAGTTTTAGAGGACTTACCAAAAGGATGCTGGGAATTAGGCAAAACATGCAAAACAAGTAATACAAAATTGTAACTGTTAATGGACCTTATCTAATGTGCCATACCCGAATCGATCTGACTCACTACTTTCACAGATCCAGTACGAAACCCTTCATGTGGACTTTACGTCAACATTTTCACACCTCTGCCTGCAGCTGTGGGTTTGGTTTAGTTACCTGCTGTGAGGCTCCTCCTATGCAGCTCTGTAGGAGAGAGATAGTTTGTTTATTTGGAACTAGAACAGGCTTCCTCTGCCCCCTAAAGCCTCCTGTATCTGTATGTGTGTGTGTGCTGGAAGTGACAGTCGAGTCAAACGCTGCACCAGGGTGAGAAATGCAGTGTTTTGTGTGCGTGGTAATGGTGATGGTGTGAGGGGTTTCATACGCAGTGTACTTGCTCTTTGTGTGCTTGAGAACATCACAGAGGACTGGTGTGGTTTGGTCAATAGAACTTTACCAGTTTAATGCCCACGTGTGTAGGTGTGGAAAACCTAATACAGGATCCTAAAACAGGACATGGTTTTGTTTTATCAGAGATAAAGTGATTGGAAAATGTTTTTAAAGTCCAAAACCAGCATGAAATATTCGAATGTTCAAGAACGTTGTCCCCTTGAGCAAAACACAATAAATGTCCATTCATTTCACTCCAGGAGACCTCGATGCAACGCCCTTTCTTCGCACTGTGTTCGTTCATATTGGCGTTTGTGTCAACTTTGATCCGACATGACGGTTTCGATCCAATCTCTCCTCAAAACACCTCAGTAGTCTCCTGTCGGTCACTGCTGGATGTGACTGTGGTGTTATGCTCAAACTGAACTAGGTCTTAAGACTCACAGGGGTGAGGGGGGGTAAAAAGCCAGCTGCTATAAGCAATCCTGAGGGCAATATGATAATCCCTAAAATAGGGGGGGAAACACTTTTTGCACAAGCTATTCTTGAAGGCCTTCTCAGTGTGTTGCACACAATAAAAGTTGTATAACTCTCGACACGAGGCCAATCACTGGGAGTGATTGTCAATAATGATTTGGTGCACTCTTTTGTGAATCCAACTGCTGTACATAGTACGGAGGGAAGAGGAGCTTTGTCGACCATCCAACAAGCAGTTTGTCTGAAGCAGACTTAAGGGTGTCCAGGTTGTGGAGGACGGGCGTGTTAGGAGAGTGTAGGAGACACCTCCATCCATGTTGTGATGCTGAGCAATGAGGATCACAGTCTATAGAGTCAATCAAAGGGTTGTAGTCGCCTAACCCAACCATACTGCAAACATATTTTATTTATATAATATATTTTTACCTGACTTACTTCAAATAATAGGCCATGAGCAGGGATCTGAAATGATCAATCAACATGTACTTATGTACATGTTGATTGATTGTATGTACTTGAGAGGGTTTCTTTTGCATTTCACAGCCGGGTACATCTTCTTTTTGTCTTTTTCTGCTCCATCAACATTGAGCGGTTTTATTCATTTATTTTTTATTTATTTATTTTTTAAATCCTACCATTGCTTTTAACTATTTATGTATGGACGTCCTCCTTACAAAAACTGAATTTGAAAACACGAGCGTGAACGCCCGTGATTTTCATACCTTTGTAGTTTCTGAGAGCTTAATTGTCATCATCAACATTTCCAGAATGGAACAACTTTTATCTTTCCCTCTAAACCTCCCCTCGTCCCCCCAAAAAAGCCTCTTCCTCCTGCCTCCAGGATCCTTCACTTTCCATTCAGCGTTGGTTGAGTAGCTCTGAAAGGATTCCATGTTCAGCCGATATAAATGATTGTGAGGTGAGCCCAGTAGGAGTCTGTTTTGGACGTGGCCTCCTCTGTACTGCGAACTGTAGTCACATTATTTCTGTTTTTTTCTGCCAAAAAGATCACTTAGTGGAAGCTTCACGTGTCTTTCAACTGCTTCCTGTCGTGACCTGATTTGGTCTCTTGTGTTACGGGGAATAAAACTCCCACCATGCTCCATTTAGTGTTTTACGGGTCTTAAAAGTCATGGAGCTGTTTGAAAGGGCCTCCACCTAAAAGTCTTCAGTATAGTGGAGAACCGAACGCCCTCCCTGCAGCGGCGTCCCGTCTGGAATGTGCTCGCTCAGCCAGAGTGACTTTGATTCGAACAGAGTTGGGCACAATGGGCCAACTGTAAAAGGTGTCATTGCTGTATGTGTGTAACGGTCTTCTCTGTGGAACCGGGGAAAAATGTGGTCACTGGAAAAATTGAATATAAGAATGGCTGCTTCTTTTCGGGGTCTCGTGGATTCTGTTTTTCCATGAAGTGATGCTCACTGAGATGATGTAATTCTTAAGCCTTGGTTCCCATTACCATAGAAGAGAAGAGACCACGCTCGAATTTACAAAATGAGGGAAGAATCTGTTCTGTTGTTCCACAGGAAGTTAAACTGTTGTCAGAAAGAGATAAAAGCTCAAGCTCAAATGTAATGCTTTCATAGAGAGGAGAGTGTTTGCTGTTTAGTTTGGGTCCAGCGTTTCTATAGTTACCGTCTAAAAAGTGGAGCATGAATCATTATCATTGTACTCTGTTCCATGATATAATTTTGTTGGGACAAAACACACACAAAGGAAGCATTTCATCTAAGCAAGATAATCAAAAACTCTTTTTACTTGAGAAGAATATTTGCATTTTATTTTATTTTGCTGTTGTTTGAGACTTTTAAATGTATTGTTATTTTCTGCTCTAGACACGCGTGAAATAAAATTAAAAAAAATAAAATTAAGATTAAAACATTTGGTTCCCTGAACATTATTTAGGTTTAATTGTTAATTAATTAGATATAGAATCAATTAAAAAATGCAGATCCAGAAGCTTTCTCTCCGAAATGCTTTTGTTTCTTTCAGATGATTAACTATCCTCACATTTGAGAAGCAAAACCTAGTAAATATTTGATTTCTTCCAGGATAAGAAACTTTTTGAGAGTTAGTTACTAGACTAACTTTTGAGAAGAGTTAGTCTAGTAACTAACCTACAGTTTCACACATAGTTCAGTGTAGCCGTTTTGTTAAAGAAAAATTGATGCTGATGATGAAAAGTGATGCTCAATACCGGTTGTATCAAGTCATAAATCTATTTCAAGATTTGATTGACTTGATATATTGATTGAGGGACTTCTGAAAAGTGAAATGTTTAAAGCCTACAAATATTCTATAATGCCCATCAGGGTCTGTCATGTTCCTGACACACACTTAAACATCTGAGCACAGAGTGAGACCGGCCGCTCCTCAGGCCAAAAATCCTTCACATCATCTAGACCCACAACAGTCAATGTACCTCTGTGAGATTCTTTTTCCTCCTTTTAGGAGTTTGTCATGCTGTCTCAATGTCTGTAGCCACTGAAATGAAACACTGTCCCGTTGCAAAATACTAATCCTTCGTTAGAACACTGATTTCATAACTTTTATGAAATCATAATTTGGCAATACTCCACAAATACTGAATATGCTCAAGACCTAGATAATCAAATTGGAGTTTTATTTAGAAAACTGAATTTAGCTGAACTCTGACCTAAATTGGCTGGTTCCAAAGGCATTTTGGAAATACCCTACTGGAGAGTGTTTGAGAAGGTTTAAACAGTCAGTGAGTCTTACCAACGTGCATTGTGTGTTTCTTTCAACTCTAACATTGTTATCACCGACCATCATGCTGCATGTGTTACCGTTACCTGTAGCTAAGTGCAACACTGTGAAACCATCGGCACCATGAATATCATGTGTACCCTCGGTGGACCATCATGGTATTGCAGTCACGGCCCGATGTTTGCTGAAGTCATAGTATAGTGCTCCACATGCTGAAGATGTGAATTGCTGCATCGTTATGTTTTAAATTTCCTATTTTGAATTAGCGTCTGTACAGTAATATCCAAGTGTATTACATATCACATGTTCTTATGATGAAAATTGTTTACCAAGGCTGTTCCAGTATACAAAAAGAGTATTTTGTATGACACTTGAACCACTGTTGGGGTTTTCCCAGTGCACAGTACTTACATCACACTGTGACCCCTTAAACTCAGGCTTTAAACAAACTGCAACTTCTGTGTCTCGTGTCAACTGAAGGGAACCTATAAATAGAAGTTTAGATGGAAGTGAAACCGCTGCTCATAACTGAATCACCTCAAATTAAGTTTAATTTGATCAAAATCTGTTCCGAATCTGAAACGCCTTTCTGTCTTTTAGCGGTAATTACTTGAAACCTTTAGGGTCCACTCCATTCATATCTCAGTGTCCTTTCATCTCTGCGTCATTGAAGAATGTGTCAGAGCATTCGGTACCGTCTGTAGTTCCCTTAGGAACGTCTTGCAGGGTTGGAAAGCTCTGAAGCTTAAGAAAGCCCCTCAAATGTTTTTACTTCTATGACTAAAAGAGGATAAAATGTGCGCAGGACACTTGGGAAAAATGTACCACGATGAAGATACACGTCCCAGATACTTTTAGGGAGTAAAAGGACACATTTAAATCGGGCTATGTAAACTATGCTTTTGGAGAAATCAGCCTGCAAAACATTGGATACAAACACAGGAAAATATCATTTGACTTTGCTGTTCTGAACAACAGTGAATTCTGTGATGCCACTTCAGTGGGCGCATGTCAATAGATGGTACTCTGCCAGCGGCCCGCGGACGGAACATGATGAGATAATATTTTCCTGTCCCATTCCTCTGAAGGTTGTCTTTCATTCCGATCTGTTCGGGAATCAGACGTGTGAAAGACCCCCCCCCCCCCCATTGTGCCTCCTGTGTGTTTCATTTACATTCGTATTGCAGGAGGAGATGAGTCGATGTGGGAAGCAACACGTGTTGTTTGCACTCAGGACAACACTTACAGCTGAGCAAACAGCCCCAACTCACCACATGCTGACACACACACACACACACACACACACGCACACCCAAAGTCACACAAATGCCCTGTGGCCTGCGCACGCATGATCATGAATGGATGTGAATAGAATAGCAACTTCTTCTGAAGAACTGATCGACTGGCATAGTTGGTTTGGCACAAAGCAGTTTATCTCAAATGATCTCAGCTGACTTTAAAAAAGCATGAATACTGTCATCTCAAATGTTGGAAACGGTCATGGCAAAGTCACTAGTTTTCATGTACTAATGAAATTATCCACATAAAAAAGGCATTTTATGTGGTATGACAGAAGTACTTCTGCAGATGTTCACCTCTGACCTCCTCGCTGCTCCAAACAATGCATTCTTTTATCATCAAATACGGTCGAGGCCGTGCACTGTGACAATGAGTGCACTTGTGTGCAGCAGTCAGGAGTTCATCCAGGACGTGTAGAGAGTCAAATGCTTATTGTGTTAACAACCTGTGTATCGGCAGGCAGCCTGTCGCCCATTAGGCCAATCAGCCCTCCTGCTGCAGAGTCCGTGCTGCACTCACGCACCACTTGGACTGCTTCAAATTCATTTCACGGCAAAGGGCATTTGTTTTTTTTAAGTCACACGGCTCTTATTAATGATTTCCAGCAGCTGTTTTTTAGAGAACAAGCTTTAATGAAGCTATTGTATATGCGAATAGATATTGAACTCAATGGCGCAATAAGAAGCAATATTTAGCTGATATTTTCTGCGAGGTTTCGGTGAGACCAAAACAGAGCTAATACGATCGAGAGGGTTAGGGTCTTTAAATCATAACATACATAAACATAACTTCAAATATATGCATATATTTTACATGGATATATAAGCAACAATTCTACATTCAAACTTGGAGGTGGAGGTGTTTTGTCAGCTTTTCACTTTTTACAGTACTCTACAAACAAGAAGTGAAACCCTTACGCATTAAAAGCCACTGTTCTCAGCTCCCTTACTTGGCATGTGAAGTAGCTTAGCTAATGTTAGCAAAACCGGAGAGATATTTCCGTCCTCCCTGTGGACCGGCCCGTCCATTGGCTAACATTTAGATAATGGCAGTTAGATAAAAATAATTTACATTCCTGACTTGCTGGCTGGTGTGTCTGAAGCTGGTTTGGCCCTTTGACTTGTGATCTGCTCGAAATATCCCAAACGTTCTTAATCTTAAAGGTGCAGGCTTTCCTTAAAAGCACTGTGCAGGTCAAAGGTAAAAGTGACTTAATAGTTAGATTATATGGAGACTATAATGTTAGTTTTTTTTAACTCAAATTGTTTCTCTACTGCATCACACAAGAGATAGCCGTCCACACACATCGTCCTCTAATAAAAGACTGGTGGGTGAATGGTGGGACACGTTTTGGCCTGCAGCACTCACGTCTCTGGACTTTTGGCTGGTCCGAGTGTGTTTGGGGGTAATCCCACCCTGGGGTCAAACTTTCTTCCTCCGATAACCTCTCTGACTCCCAATTATCGCCTTGCTTTTGTCTTCCACTTCTCGTTCCTCCTTTCTTCTCTTGTCCTCTGTCCTGAAGAAGCTCCTGTCCTGTTCCAATGCTTCAGATTAACTTTTTATTTTATTTTAATAGGCATTCCAAAGAAAAACAACTAATCACAGGTTGCTAAAAACGATCCAAAAAGTGCACTCAAGTAAACTTTAAGGTATTTGTAGTTTGAGTGTTTTAAAATTCCACTTTAATGGTATCAGGGGAAGATATTGTACGTTTCATTCGTTTGTCTGACAGCTGTAGATACTTAGATACAGATTCCTTTCTAGTTCAGTGAAAACCCAAGGACTCTCCTGATGTGTTACTGCTGAATGTTTGTGATAAACTGGAGAAGGAATTTTGCTTTTATTTATGGAGAAAATCCAACTACTTCTTAAGCTAAAAAAACAAAACAAAACAAAAAAATCCATTTGGAAATGCGTTGCAATGAAACACAACATCAAGGTTCATACTGGACGGTAATGCTATGAATGCCTTTTGCATCTGATGCATAAGTGCAGATTAAACTACAGTACGTACATGAACGAAGGTTATGTACAGCAGTAAACTAACGTTTACTTTCTCGTAGTGATGAAGATGGATGGATTTGAACTCTCCGAGACCTCAGCGCCCCTTTTGCCTGCAGGTAGTCCCCTTTGTCGTGGCAGGGGTCGAGGGTGGAGCTTTAGAGGTTCAAAGAGGGTGGGAGAGAGAGAACGTGTGTGCGCGCGTCATTGAGTATGTACATTATCTGTGACATTCCAGGCATTCTTTGTAGGTGGTGTTTTTGTCCCCCACCTGCTGTTCTGGACACAAAAGGGGATCCGACAGGTCCTGTCTCTCTCACTCAGTTGCCACTGGGCCGTGACTGTGTGCAGAGAAAGGGCTGCTGCCCCTCAGTGACCTGGCTCTGAATTACACGCTGGGGAGAAATAAGCTCTCCAATTAAACAAACTTTACAGAAAAAAGTGCCAAAGACAACTTAGAGAAGTAATGAAAGTATATGAAACTAACCTATTTTTTCCTGTAATTTATACATTTACCTCAGCGTTTATTTCATTTGGTACACAGCTACACCCATGCCTACTTTAGACTTTACGGTCGATAGCCCCCCTGATCCTTTGTTGTGTTGTTGTCATGATGATAGTTTGTTAGTTAGTGTCTATTGGCTGTTCTTTCCCACGACAGCTTCTAAATGTAACTCACTCAACAACGCTTCCTGACTGGACACGGAATATGAAATGCAAACACGTCGTAGGAGGAGCGGAAGAGAGGTGGGGTGCAGGGGGGACATGGGCAGAGCAGCTTTGTAACACGGGCCTCATTCACTGCTCTCCTAGTGGCTGTACAGTGTGCTAGCGTGTGTGTGTGTATCACTGTTACCTGGGAACAGGTCCTCTCTGTTCATGTCCGCACTCCACCCACCCACCTTTTCTGCCCTAGCGTTGGTCGAGATCACGTGTCAATCAACCCAAAAGTGAAATTTAGTGACACAACAGAAAAAAGCCCCTTTGAGTGGCGTGATGATCTTGTGGTAAGTTGACAGAACAAGTAACCTAAACGTCTCAGGATGACTTTCAACATAAAAGAATCCGCTTTGTTAGCATCTGTAGCGTCCAATAAATGAGTTCCTGTGTTTTTCTGGCACAAAATCACTGGCCAGTAAGCCAAAACCTCTTTCGCTCTAATTGGCACCAACTTGCACCCTCAAACACACACGCAGGACTTCTAAACACACAAAAAACGTAATGAACTCAATCTTACATAAGAGCCTTTGACCATCGAGAGCATCTTAGAACAGTGCAGTTAGTCATGCTGTTACAGAAACGCTTTTTGTTCTTTCTTGCCAATATGTCCTTCAATTAGGCAGATACCAGGGGACATTATTGGGAGTATTATAAACTACTTTTAATAGGTGAAATATTTTACCGTCCCAGTACAGTCCTAAGTACCTCTTCATTAACGGAGCCAAATCCAGCTCAAAAGTTTTGTTCAGTTGAAAAACAAATGTTTTGAAAATAAAATAAAAATAAGTACACGAAAAGTATTTTCAAGTTGAATCATAACTATGACTCAATTATTTTCGCTTGTGTTTATTTTTTTATATTCACTGTATTATTTTTTTTCAGTTGCAGATTTTATATATTCAGATTTAAATATTATATTTTGACATTCAAACTTATATTTTGACATTCAGATCTTTTTTTTTCACATTCAGACTTTTGACTGTGGCGTAGGGGGCGGGGCATCCACTGGGAGGGGCGTGTAATCGTGAGTGACAGCTTAACAAATATGATATAATGTACGTTAATCTAGGTAACGTGACAGAGTTTAAACCATAGACTAAATGGATCTATTGTCTTCTCAAGTCTGTGTGCATTATTGTTTATGGCCAATAGGTGAAGCAAGAGTGCTGGAATTAGTAAAGAGGCTTGTGTTGCAGGTCTTCTGTGGCGCCGTAATTGTGTCCCCTCTGTTGTGCTGGTTTTAACGTGACGGACAATAGAACGCTAACATGCAATCGTATCTCTCTGTAAATATGCTGACAATCTAATAATGACTCAAATGTAGAACTTCCGTGTTGATGTCACATGTTATAGTTTCCGATGCATCAAGCAACTGATTAAAGACAATTTATAATTCAGCTTCTCCGGGTAAATCCTCCGTCTCCTAAAGCAATTTAAGTGGTTATTTTTGCAAAATAGATTAATATGATCTTCGTGGGATTGGAGGTAACAGTAAACCAATTAAAGTTTGTTGTTGGGATGGAGGGGAAGAGAGCGAGAGAGAGGTGAAGTGAGAAATCCAGAGGCCCTAAACGGGGTCCGCATGCATAGAAGAGAGGGAATGCGCCACACAATCTGCTCGTTGCGTTTACCTCCACTAGTGGCAAACGTGCACATGGTTCGTCGACAACCAAGCGCCACACGTTAAGATTACAAGACTGATGTTCATTATCTCAGTCCCGCACACACACAGGCACACACACACACACACAGTAAAACAGTACGAATTACAATTATAATCATCCTGTCATCAAAGGGGGGCTTGACAAAATAAGTTTGGGAACCACAGCTCCCAAACTGTTACAGCGAGAATCCACTGTGTGTTATGACAGTGTCAGAGGTGACCCCCCTGTTCTCTTCTTGACCCCCTCCAACCTATCCACATCCCATCCCATTCCACGCCCCCTCATCCCTCGGTAATCCATGACTAATCATGCCTCTCCCCCTGGGGAGTCTTCTCCGTCACCCTCTTTTTAAATCTTAAACCTATCATCTGCTCCATTAGAGACCCCCTCCCCCTTTTCCTCCCACGGTCCCTCGCAGGTTCCGATCGAGATGCTTGACGACCTTTTGGCATTACAGTAACTGAAAGTAAACGGCATCTACTAAAGAATCATCTAAAGCATTTTGGTTGTTTTCTGTGTCTTTGAATAGAGTTTGTATTAAAATACTTGACTTGAGGAAGAGCACACGGTTTTCAAACAAATGGAGGGTGGAGGTGTTTTAGGAGGTAAAGATGCGACTGTGGCTCAGTGAATTTAGAATCGGGGTTAATCTGAATTGCATTGTCGGCGGTCAAGCTTCTAAACCACTTTCGTAGGGAATAAATATGGCCATCCAAACAATAGAAATCACATAGCAAAAGTAAGTCTGTTCGTTACAACAGAGGTATCTCTCCCCATCACCCCCTGTTTGCCTTGCACCCATAAACCCTGGTGTCTTCCCTAGGACTTTTCTTCGAGAAGCGTAACGTTGAAATAAAGTGCATCAAACCGTACTTGGTGTAGCCACGCCCCTAATCAGCCTGAACAAACACCTCCACCCAAGAATCCTAAACAGCAACTCCATCCGCATCCTGGACCTCACGAAACATTTAGAGGAGCACAATACGACAGAACAGGGATCCCTTTGTCATCACCAACACGGGGCCTCTGCCCCTCTTTCCCTGATTAGTCAGCGGCAGCAGAGAGAAAAGCCCCACTTTATCAATGCTCCCATCCAACCTTTTTAATTTGTCTAGTTTTTGATCTTTGATTTCAGTCAGGTGACTTAGTCATCAGCCAGGCGATTATCCAGTAAGCTGTTTTTTATGCTTCTGCCTTTAAATGCTTAATAGGAATTTAAGCATTTCCATAAAGATGTGTGTTTAACAAAAACAGATCAGATCCTATAAATTGTAGCAGAGATTAAATTACAGACGTGTTCGTAAAGGCTTATTGATGGATCTGGTGACTGGTGAACATCATCACCCCCCCAGCTCAGCCACACTTTTTGGAGGTTGTTCAAGTGTCTGTCAGTTGGTGTCATCACCAATCCATTACATTACATTACATTACATGCCATTTAGCGGACGCTTTTACCCAAAGCGACGTACAATAAGTGCATTCAACTATAGGGTACAAACTCAGGAGAACAAGAAACAAGAAAGTGCAATTTCCTCAAATAAGCCAATTTACAATTTGCTATAGATGCGTGACGTTACAAGTACAATTTAAGTGCTACAATTTGTTAGTCTTTAGTCGAGGTAGAGTCTGAAGAGGTGTGTCTTTAGTTTGCGGCGGAAGATGTAAAGACTCTCAGCGGTCTTGGTGTCTTCAGAGAGCTCATTCGACCATTTCGGAACAAGGTGTTATGGATTGTCTCTGACCCCAAGTGCACGACACCAGACACAGCTTAGGTTTAGCCGGAAAACGGCGTAGTTTATTTCACAAAATAACCAAATACGAGAAACAAACAAAAAGGCAACTCCAAAAACTTCTCTAGTCCGTGGGCGCTCTTAGTCCAATCAAAAAATGAAAACTCACACGATACTCACAGGGAAAACAAAAACTCTGCGTAGGGAATTCCGGAAGGGTTTCCAAGAGGAGCACAGGGGAAGAACAATCAACCCTCTCTGGGGAAACACAGAGCACGAACTCACAGCGAGCCACTGGCAGATCTGCTTCTTAACCTCCCTGTGGGATGAGCTGACGAGCTGCAGCTGTGGCGATGAGCAGAGCGGCGTCAGGTGTGCGACTCTCTGGCTGGTCGAGCCCTAACACTACCCCCCCCTCCAAGGGAGCCACCCGGCGACTTGCCAGGCTTCTCGGGATGGGCTCGATAAAAGGCGGTCAGAAGCCCCGGGTCCATGATGAGCCGGCGAGATACCCAGCTACGGTCCTCCGGGCCATAGCCCTTCCAGTCCACCAGGAACTGGTACCCTCGCCCCCGACGCCGAACGTCCAACAGTCGGCGAACCCTCCACTGAGGGTGCCCATCCACGATTGTGGGTGGAGGTGGGTCCGGGGCAGGAGGCATCAGAGGACTGCAGGCGACGGGCTTAATCCTAGATACGTGGAACACAGGATGGATCCGCATAGAAGTCGGTAGTTTCAGCTTCACTGCGGCAGGACTGAGCACCTTCGTGACCTCAAAGGGGCCCACGAAACGGGGGTCCAGCTTCCTGGCGGTTGACTGCAGGGGAAGATCCTTGGCGGACAGCCAAACTCTCTGCCCGGGGTGGTATGTTGGCGCTGGGTTCCGGCGACGGTTGGCCCCCCGGCTACTACGTTCAGCCGCTTGGAGTAGAGCGGCTCTGGCGACTCCCCAGATGCGACGACATCTGTCCAGATGAGTCTGTACCGACGGAACTGCCACTTCA